CAATTCCACAGTGAACTAAATATTTATAATCACTCAAGAAAAAGCTTCCAAAAAGCCTATTAAAAATAGTATTCTTATATTAAAGAACATAATGCTAGAAATTTTTCAGTTACATTTCAAAAAACAGGTATTAACTTTGTTATGTATAGTAAAAAATCTAAAAAACACCACCTAACTTTTTTACTAAATCATTTTTATTTTCAAAGCACTAAAACAATAGTCAATACCCACTGGGGATTATGAAACTACAATTTTATAAAACGGTAATAATACTAAACGGTAATAATAATAATAAACGGTATAAATACTAAAATTATAAAAGAAAGCCAATTGCTAAGCAATGTGAATAAACTTTTTCATAAAATATTCTATATCATAAAATGCAGTTAAAATAAATGTTGAAAACTAGATGAAAGCAGAATTTTGGAAATACAATTTTAATAAAATTACAGAAGAAAAAATCTTACCTCTTCATAAATAACAGAAAATAAAAATTAACAAAATTATTTAATACCGAAAAAGAATAAATTTGGATTTTTAAAAGAGGTTTAAATAATGCTATTGTCGACTACATGTAAATAATAACAATAATAAATGATTATATATTTTAGTAATTGCAATTATTTTCAATGGAAACAGATTTCAAAGCACTATTAAGATCACAATTTTATGAACAATATAATAAACTTAAACATTTTGTACATAATGAAAAAATTTACCAACTGTAACATTAATTTTATGCTTTCGTTACTAAGCGCACAATTTTTATATGCCGCTCCACAAGCTCGTAATGACATGTTTTAGTAAAATTTTTGGTCTTAATAATTAATTCTGCTAAATGCTAGTAAGTTTCAGCGTGCAAATTTTAAAGCTATTTTTCACTTTATGCAAGAAAATCTTAATGAAAGATAGGTAACTCTTCGTTTCATTTCAATAAAAACTGAAAACGCTATTAGTTCAAGTATAAAATAACGGCCACAAACAGATAATTCGCAAGATCGCTAAAAGACTGTTGCATTCTTGGGAAAATGTATTAATCTTCGTATAGGTTAGTTAACATTTCCTAGTGCAAGGATCAAAAAAGGTTATGTACCGTTGTTTATAACCGACGTTGAACAGCCGATCCAATTTTATGGATTTACGACTACTAATGTTCAACTCCGTTGCCTTGTAATTTTGAACCCAGTCCAGAAGACAAGGGATTTCCTAGATTGAGTATTGGGAGAAATTTTCCTTCGTGGAGGACTTTTTTTGATGGAGCTAATCCGCATTTGCGTTACATGGAGAGAAAGACCAAGAGAACCTCCTACAGTTAGTCTGACGGCAAGGGGACTCTAACCCATGATCCGTCTACCACTAACAGAGGCGTATCTAGAGAAAATGGCGCCTATGGCAATCCTCCCTATCGGCGCCCTTCTTAAAATATTTTTATTATTCTCTATTGTTTAACACATATCTATTATATCTATACACACCAGCATATATATATATATATATGTATGTGTGTGTGTGTGTAATACAGTACTGAAGCGCGTTTGATTTGTTGGTTACCGAGGATTTGCTCGAAAATGGATATGCTCAAAGTGATATTATACTGGATAAGTTCATATTTAATAAAGTTGATATTCAATTATACAATTTTAATGATTTTAGAAAAATTGCATTTATTTAAGAGGGGAAAAAAAGAGAGAAAGAAACATGAATCGCCATTTTGCGCATATTTTTAGCCACGGAATTGCCCGAAATGCATTTGCACATGGTAGAAATTATATAAATTATCCAAGAAGTTTTTAATAAACTTATTTATAATAACATACAATTAAATCAATGATTTCACATAGAATTTTATTACTTCAGTTGAGTATCCATTGTTTTTTATCAAATTTTTAAAGAGTTTGCCTATTTCTTTTTTGGATAAATAAACATTACTTTATGTTCTATTTAATTCTATTCATTTAATTAAAAATGGTATTTAAGTAGATTAGAATTCTAAACATTAAAAGCATTTTAGAAACATTAGAATTTTAAAGTAATTAGTTTATTTATATTAAAATTAAAATCACTTCTTTGATCGTTTAAATTAACAAAGCAGATATTTTCTTCTTTTATAAATACCCAAATCTAAAAAATTATAATTAATATTATCATCTTGATTACAAAACAGGATTAATTCCTCCTGGTTAGGTGGTTAGTCGAACGCAAAACGATTTTTTTCTTCATAATAATGCCAAAATAAGTTAGCTTAGAGAGATGAAAAATTAGATCCTTGTGGTAGTCCATCAATTTGAATAAAAATTCTATTCATTGTAAAGGTAGTTATTAAAAAGACAAAAATTAATTAGAATTTTCCAATGATCAAAATCACAATGAAAGATATTTTTAAAATCATAGTAATAATTTAAAAAGACATCTTTTGGTTCATAAAGGGGAAAAGATCCTGGAAATCAAAAGTCGCAATAGATTTTATTATCTTTAATATATTCTAAACTCGGATGATTATTAGTGATAATTCAAGAAATACCTTCTTTAATAATGCTGATAATAATTAATATTAAAGTAGTTAGAGAAAATGGAAACCTCTATGTACATATTTTTGAGGCATTGTGCTTGAAATTTTTAAAGGAAAATAAAGGCACTAAAAGTATAGACATTTTAGTTTCGTTTCGCTTGTTTTTTCTTTTTTAGGATAATAAAACTTTTTTTAAAATCATATTGTAGACTTGGGTCTATTCAAAAGAATTAAATATTTAATTAAAAGTTTGTGTATTTAAATTAAAAATTCTTCGCCTTAATTTTTGTTTGTTCATTTTATACACATAAGTCCGAAGGTGGTTGGAACCCATCAAGTAAATTAGAAAAAGAATTACCTTCGATGATCCTATTATTAGTATCAGATAATCATGTACTATTAAAATTTTAATGGCTCGATAGAGAAAAGTTAAATCTTTTATTTTAAATTACGAAATATTACGATAAAATTGCAAATTACTTTATTTTTCTTTAAATCCATAGAAATAAGCTAAAAAATTAGTGCATACAATAATTTGAGCAATAAAATCGAATATAAAACTAATATCGAACTAATATCGAATAAATAAAATCGAATATAAAAGTACTTCACCTTAGTAAACATGTCATTCATTTTTATCGAATTTAAGTTTTTGATCTTCAAAATTTTAGCTTAGATTGGAAAAACAGGTCGAAACTCTGTGCATCGTAATGACACCCTCCTCCCCCCTAATATATTTCCTTTAAATTTTAGCTAAATGGAATATTATTTTTATGTAAAGAAACAAAAATGTAACAATAGTACAATAATAACTGGGAACACATTTAGAAAATCTGCACTAATATTAAAAACACATATTAATTTCTTTTGTTCATATTCGTCACACAATTTTCATAAAATAAATAAAAAAATGAAATAGAGGATAGAAACTTAATTTCTAAGACGAAATGTTCTGATGTAATATAATAAATACAAACTGTTTTACAATAATCTATGAATGAAAAAAAATTGCTAAAAGAATTACCTAAAAAAAAAATATTAATTTGAGCGGGCATAAAATGTTTTTTTAAAGGAAGGTAATGTAATATTATTATTGAATATTTTGAATAGTTCTGAGAAGTTTCTATAATTACGGTTTATTAAAAACAAAGTAGGCTGTTATGTGATCAAATTACTACGTTAAACCTTAGTTAATAAAAATATCGTTTCTTAAATTTTACACTCAAGCGGCAATTAGGTGAAAATATTAAAAAAAGATAGAGACGAAATGCATGTTTACAGAAAAAATTATTTAAAATTCATATGATCAAATTTAATCCAAACACATAGATCGACAAATACATAATTATTAATAAAGTAAATTTTGCCTTAGCTGTTATTCGTTTAAACATTTAATGATGCACACACATTTTTCTAAAATTTAAATATTGTCTGGGGTGATAAGCAAGTTTAAAATTTTAAGCGGTTAAAAATTTACCCGATCGAGAACCTTTACATAAGGATGTCTCGCGTCAGCAGTGTGGTCGGTGCAAACCGGGTGCGGAATTCGTATCAACTGGGATTCGAACCCGGCTCATCTTATTGGAAGGCGTACGCTCTATCCCCTGAGCCATCGTGGCTCTATGTACCGTTATTAACTAATTCGATGAGATAAAATGGTTTCGGAGCACTTGTTTTAAGACATGGTAGTTTGTCTACGGTAAGAACTCCCCTCGCCACTAAGTCTGAGGCCGTCTGCTGCTATGGAAACAAGAATAGCGCATTTCAGGGAGGGTAGCTTCTCTTCACTCTAGGACTAACACAATAGATCGGAGAAAAATATTCCCTTACTCTCTCCGATCCAAGACAAAACCTGTAATAAACAATAACACCACACCCTTACTTGAAATAGTTATAAATCGTTACCATAGTCATCACCACAGGTCCAGACGAATGGCTAGGGGAGTTCTTACTTTAGACAAACTATAGAAGAGGGTTGACCATATCTGAGGAATGGTAAAATTGGATATCATATATCGGTCGTCATAATGGAAGAGATAGTGCAATGGATAATTGTATCAGAAAATTTTAGACTTCATAAAAAGACCACCCAAAGATTTTTTTTTTTAAGGCATTCTTTTAAAGAAGAAAAAAAAAATTGTGCTATTTTCATGTTGGCGTGAAATAGGTGTTCTCTTATCTTCTCTATTCGCCTATTTATTTTCTAAGTTTGTTCCGTTGCTGATAATTTTTATTTTTATCGAAAAAATAGCTGATAATGTTCGTTGAAGAGGGATTAAATAAAATTATTTGCTTTTTCGAGTAAGCTTTTCTTACAAGTTTAATTTTTTTTTTATGTCGTAACGTGAAGTAACGGAAGGATTAATTCATCAAGGTCAAAAAAACACTTGACCTTGCTGAGTGAACGAGATGAGCAATATTTTTCGGGAAGAGGAAGTAAATACACTCAAATTGGCAGCAGTGCATTTACAAAAAAAAAGAAGAAAAAAAAGAAAGGGGAGTGAAAGAAAAAAAGAAGAGAGCAAACGTCAGTTATGTACATTGTATTTATTACGTCATCCTTTTTTTTTCATTGACGAGGCAAAACAAGTTTCAAACGATTATTTATAATGTCAGTAAAGCATAAAAAGAATTATTCAAGAGTTGTTTAATCATCATTCTGTAATAATGGTCGCTTTCTGAAGTTTATTCAGGAAAGTGATGTGTTAGCGCCAAGAGTTGACTCTTTTTAATCTAATGCTCTGAAATAAATATTCATTCGCCTTTACGTGTTGGCATACACATCATTATCGAAGCTGTCTCTTCAACAAATGCAATTTCATATTTTTTAAAATTAGAATGATTATCCGATATCCAATGAAAACCAAACAACTTGGATAAAAATAATATAAATCTGAGACTGATAGTAAACAAATGCTCATATTAAAAGAAATGTGGGTTTCGTTTGTTTAATATAGCTTTCTTAATATTGCTGATTAGCAAAATTTTTAATTCTTCTGCTTCGACCATCGTCCATCCTAATATATATATTAACTACTTAGGATAGACGATTTAAATTTGCTGATTACATTGTATGTTAAATTGCTGCAACTTTAAACATGTCCATTGGTCGAAAATCTTCAATAGGACACGTGTGGAAGTCGGAAAAAGAAAATGGCGATATCGCAGATAATGAAGACACATCGTGTGGAATCGGAGGTTTTCATCCAACATGGCTCCAGAGATTCAACTCTCCAAAATCATTCCTGGTCAACAACGGACTTCTCGGAACTTTGAATGGAGCCACTTTTACTCACTTCATCGGGTGTATATCCACCCTGGAAAAACGCTATGCCTTCGAAACACAGGTGACAGGTCTCATTCTGATGGCAGAAGAATTGTGCCCATTCCTCTTAGGGTTCTTATTAGGGTACTTTGGCAGCCGGACCCACAGGCCGAGATTCATTGCCGCATCAATGTGCATATCGACCCTCAGCAGTTTCGTTTTGGCAGGTCCTTATTTTTTGTACGGACCTATACGGGACACATCCGTTTTGAAGGACTACGTCAATCAGACGGATTTTCAGCTGTGTGGAAATAGGGAAACGGATGAACTATGCAACAAAAGTCCAAGAATTTTAGCTGTTTCGCTGCTTTTTATTGGATTAATTATGAAAGGATTGGGAAATACAGCTTTTTATTCCATAGGCACACCTTTTTTGGATGATAACATTAACAAGAAAAATACTGCATTGTATTTAGGTAAGTAATCATTTTCACTTTGAAATTTCTCTTTCTTCAAAATTTTTCCTTAAATATTGATTGCTTCAAATTCGAATTTTGTTCTGGTCTGTTAGAAGAAAAATTATATTAAATCTAAAAACTCACAGAAATAATTAAGATAATACGAATCAGATTTCAAAAAGTTTAAATTCAAGACGACGGATACTTTTTCTTAGTCTTCTTCCTTTTTTTTATGCAATTTGTACACTTAAGTATTTTTAATAATAAATATTATTCTAGAAACGTTTGCTTCTTCTAGAAACGTCTACTTTTAATTGCATTAATGCAATAAAAAGTAGACATCAAAAATAAATAAAACAGATGGACTGCTAAAAATGCAGAACTTTGCAATATTATAACGCTAGTGTAGTAACAAAACAACGCGTTTCAACACAATATTTAATTCTATACATTCCTTGGTTACGTGGTTTTCCGTTTTGGAGATCAAAATTGACCACCCAGATAATGCGATTAAATGCATTGTAGGACCTTTAATTTAAAGGAAAAAATATTTAATGATAATAATACTAAAATAAATGTAGTGTTTATGCCAACAAACTCATAATAACACAGCTTCAAGTAATATTGAGAGCTGCATCAACAAAATTCAGCAAATAGTAGGTCATTTAAATTTTCGTCAAAAAAATACGCATGTTCAACTTACAGAGGTTATTTAACTGATATTTTATTCCATTCAGAATCGTATACTTTTATGTAGCAATAAAAATTCTTAATTTTTAAATAAAAGCCTGAGTTTTTACTTCTTGCAAGAAATTCGGGGTACTCTGCATCTTTTTTAAATAAGAGCTAAACGATTTGCTTAAATAATTTATGTAATATGTTTTTCATTCGCAGTGCATCATTTCCTGTTTAATTGAGACAATATACGTTACTCTATATATTAATATACTTTTTCTAGTTTTAAGAAAATCCGAACATTGGGTCATAAGTCATTTTAGATATCTTCTCTAGGAGACTATAGATAGATTGCTTCAGATATCTAGGCTGCTTCTCTAGGTTGCACATCTCTTTCAAATTTTTAAAAACAATCTGATGTAGGAAATCTCACCATAACATTTTTCATTGTAAACAATGTTTTAAAAATAGAGGTCTTAAAATAAAAAATAAATTAGCTGAATAGAGATAAGTGTTCAAGTTTAATAATTTCTAACACTTTTTTGTTGCTATTTTTGATAATCGAAAATATTTATCATGGAAAAAGTCGACATGTTCGTGCGTTGAAGAACTAGGGAGCTATTCTCAAAAAACCTAGCATGCGTAAATGAAAGCACAGCAAAATTGAAACACAATGAAGAGAAGGAAAAATAAAACAAAGATAGGAGAAAAACTAGAAAATAGCTGTAGTGAAAGTCAGGACAGGATGTGTTTTCAAGCAATATGTAGTAGCTGTGAGAAACTTATGTCATTGTCTAAGATATCTACACTCATATAAATGAAATAACAAACCAGAGCATTTGAAAGAGCAGACTTAAAAGAAACGGAAAGAATCTTAGTGCTATCGATAGTAAAATTATGTCCAAGGTTCCGACAATGTGCGGCAATGGAGAATTTATTGAATCCTTTAATGGCGTTCTCTTAATCTAAATTTTAAAGAGCATCTATCTGTTTTCAAAATTTTGAGCGCTATGTTGACTTTTAAACGTTTTATAATTCTTCAATTTTTGAAGTATTTAATAAGGGTTTTCGCTTCAGTTTCTGAGGTATTATCGATGTTATGTTAGTATGTTGCTAAAACTTGTGATCAGAAGTTAAATGAATTTATTATATCCATACTTGTCATTGTCTAAAACAAACAAAATATGATAAGCAGAAATGCCTACATTTAATACAATTCCATTCTTATTTGCAATCACAATGCATCCTACAAATGAAATGTTGATTTGTATTATTGTTCCGAGTTAAATGTTTAGTTTTTATAATCGACCGAGTCAGTGCTTCACTATTTCAATTTTTAGTGAAACATTAAAAAGCCTTAATAATCAATCTTTTTTTATAAACATTGAAACAAATCAGCCTAAATAATTGTTATCTGATATAATTGTCCTACGCCGTTATTGAAAACTAAATGAGAGAGTTTAGTAGGATTTAAAAATATTATTGGCTGGCAACTCTTAGAAAATCTCTGTTTGGGAGCTTTTGACTACCTCACAACTACAGGTAACTTACTGATTTAGAAAGAGAGAGAGAAATAAGAGAATTGTCGGAAATGAATATATTGGACTAAAATAAATTTCGGAATTTTTTTTTCCTATTAGTAAAAAATACAAAACTAAAAGAATTATTTAATTTTTTCATTAATTAGTTTATTCATTTAAATAATTAATTAATGTAATTTAATAAAATTTACCACATTCAAATTTTATAAATATAATTGTAGTTTACATATATAATAATCAGTAATACAGAGATGCCAACGTGCTCCAGACAGCAAATATATATTTTAAAGTGGTAATTTATCAATTTTGATTCTTGGTTTAATAAATTCAATTCAGTGAATTTTTATTCACCACTATTTCTAAATACTAATTCGTAAGCCTATATCATTCTATACCTTTTAAAAAGCAGGCAGAAATAGTTAAATATTTGAAAAATCTACTTTGTAGTTAATAACCATTTTTATAATTATTTTGGCGTGTTCGGAGAAGTTGGCTTCTCTGGAATATCATAATTATGTAATTGCAATTAAATTAAATTTAATAAAAATTAAAAGAGTAATTAATTACTTTTTAAAAAATCTAGACTTAATTTATTTCAAATATTTATATATTTTAGCATTCGCAAAAAAATTATAGAATATAACAGTATTACTATTTTAAAATACTTTTACCCTTTTTAAAATGGCAATTAACCCGACTTATTAATTTTTTTTATTTCTTACTCTAATTCGATTAGGTTAAATTTCAACAGTTGAACATACATCAAACAAAACATTCCATTATTTGCCGGTTCGCAGAATTTAAAGTTTCTAAAGGTTATTTATTTTTATTGATTCAAGTTTGAATTTGAGGCTCAAGGAAAGGATATTACGACTAAGGCATTTAACTCTTTCTCAACCCATTCCATTAAAAATTTTAATTAAAAAAATCTCATTTCTCATAATTCATTTATTTTGATGTTGACAAGATGTGGGTGTCAGTCATAAAATAATTTTTTTTTTAAAAAGAAAAAAAAGGTAGAAAAGTAAACGTGATTATAAAAATTGATCAACAAATCCATGCATTCACAATTCAAAAAACACATGTAAAAACATATTAAATTAGATTAAATGGAGAACTCGTGGCAATCAACTCTTTCTCGAATGACAGCATGTTTATCAATTACTCAAATAATTACATGTTATGAGTTACAAGTGTGCAAAAATAAATAAATGAATAAATACACAAATAAGAAATAAACGAAACACCCTGAATAACTTATGTCTAATGATCGGATTTTTACACACTAGAACTCAATCTTAATAATGGTTCAGGAGTAAGACCTCAAATATGCTAATTAATTAGTGCAGACAATGTTATGAGCAACGAAAACGTATTTTCTGTGAATAAACGTTTTTTCAGAGCCTTACCGTTTTTTCCGACGGATTACGATTTCTGACCCCCAGAATATATGGCAATCTGGCAAATATGGTCCCAATAGTTTAGTCAGGCCATAATAGTTTAGTCGTTCCAAAGTTTGAACTCCTTAATGCTAATTTTACTTTTAGCGCATTTCGCCTTATCTTGAGAAATTTTTCACCGAATTGGAAAATTTTTGCACACAGTTAAAAAATTCGTTTATCCGAAGAGGATTGCATGAAAAAAATTATTTTTCATGATTATTTATTAATTTCTATTATTTTAATTAATAATAGTCGAAAAAATTTTAAGTAGTACAATACAAATCTTTACGTCATTCTGAAAAATGTTATTTTATATGGCAAAATACGATATTATAACAAAATTGGTCGAATAGTTCCTGAGAAAAGGAGGACTTTTTGATAGAACTAGCCCGCATTTGCGTTACAAGGAGAGGTAAACCCCGAAAACCTCTCACTGTTAGCCCGACAGCAAGTAGACCCATGATCCGTCTACCACAGAGAACATTTTACGTCAGCACTGTGGATGGTGCCAAAAGGATGCGGAATATAGTATCGATCAATTGCTGGGATTCGAACCCGGTTCACCTCATTGGAAAGCGGAAGATCAATCTCCTGAGCCACCGCGGCTCTGGAATTTCCTCGTGCCCTGGGTTGTGTTCAAAATTACAAATCTACAAAGATGAGCACTGATAGTCATAAACAAGAAAAAAATGGGACAGCTGTTCAACGCTAGTTACAAAATAAAATATAAAATCAAAAATATTACCTCAAATTAATTTATTAGAGAAGTACACACTTTTTTCTCATATTTTACTGTTATTTTTTCCAGTAGATTTTGAGTGATAATTTTGTTTGATTTGCAGCAACTTCCATGACACTTCAATTGCTGGGACCAGCATTAGGATTTTTGCTCTCGTCCTTCTGCCTTCAATTTTATGAGGATCCTTTCTGTAAGCATTTCGGTTAAAACCTTTATTTAATTTTAGTTTTATGACACCTTCATAATGCATGAACGAGTTCAGCATCATTTTCATTCAACCTGTGTCATATTCACACAGAAATATAGTTTAAATTTCGAAAGAAAAAAAATAGCTTTGAGTTAATATAAATAAAGAAAGGTAATAGAAACAATAAAGAAGAATTATATTATTAATACCGTAAAACAGGTAGACTTTGTTCCACGTTTGAGATATCTATTTTTTTCCTTTCGTTTAAATTGCAACGCTGAATTTTGAATATTTTATTAAATATATCTTCACAACTTTTTCTTTTAAATATGATAGGTAAAATTTGTGAAGGAATGACAGTTAAAATTTTAAAAAAATAATAATTCCCTTATTAGAATGATTTGGGTCGAGATGACTTTGTGGCATCTCATTTATTGCCCTCCTTAAAATTGCCGAAAACTTTAAAACAGCTAATTTTTTGAATAACGTCAGAAAAAACAACTACAGCAAATAAAGAAACAATCAAATAACAACTTTTGTAGAACGACACGGATCACAAAAATGTCAGTTTTTTAATTATCTAATACTGCTACAAAAACTGGCAAAAAATAATGGAACTGATACATTTATACTAGTTATCGGTAGATCCAATTTTTAACTTCAAAACACTGTTATGCTCACTAATAATTCCTTGATGGAAATACAGATGAGAAATTCCACTCATTTTTTCTTTACTTTTTTTTTACTCTAAGCTTCATAAAAACAACAAAAGTAATATTTTAGGATAAAGATTCATTTACAGGAAAATCATGAATTTCAGTAATTCTTAGAACTGATAATTCTAAACAAAATTTTTTTTTACTATTTAAAATATTGATATAAATAAAAATATTGATATAAATTTCACAGATGTAAGCAATATATGTAAAAAATATTGATACAAATTTTAAAATTAAACCAGTATAAAATTTTTTAAAAAAAATTATAAAGAATTTTTAAAACTTTGAAAAATTCAAGCGTTTTAATAAAATATTAAAAGTTAACTCTTAAATTAAGCTTCTTTTGTTCGTAAAAAGGTATTTTTTTAATTAATGTCAAATTAAGTTCTAAAATTATACATATTATATAATTAGCAGTTTTAATGTCAAATTAAGTTGATATAATTTTAAGCGCCTGGAAACTTGACATTTACAAAACATTTGAAATAAAACAGTCTATTTTAATTAATTATCAAATTGAATGACATACTTTCAAATAAAATAAAATGTTTTAGCAAAATTATGAAGCCTAACTATCTCTTTACGGGCTGTAAAAATATTAAAGTGCTGTATTAAAAATTATACAAGCGGCATAAATTCGCTATTCAATGCCTCTTAAACGCCCAATGTTTCTAATCTGAACAAATTTTGACAAACGTATGTGTATGTATATACTCCAGACTAAAGTCTTCTGACGATGAAATGAAATTGTTTCCTGCTGTAAATGATTCAGGAATTGTAACGGAAAATTCTCGATGGAAAATTCTACATGGTGGATGGAATTCGTAATGATCCAGTGCGTTTGTAAAGACGAAAGTACATTTGTAATATACGATGATTATGAATGGTTTTCAATAGTTCTATGTATGTATTTGGACCTCGATGAATTGGAGCATGGGGATAGAGATTCTTAATCATCGGAATAATCATATTTCTTTTCATAAATATTCCGATGACTATGTATGGTTTAAAATAGTACACATGTGTTAAAAGAACAAGTTTTAATAGACTCTTTAGTAGGTTTATACGCTCTCCTGAAGCTGAAATGAAAATGCTTTATGTTGTGTGTAGATGATCCAAGATTCCTCGATGAATTGGAGCATAGGGATTGAGATTCTTAATTATCGGAATTATCATATTTCTTTTCATAAATATTCCGATGACTAAGTATGGTTTAAAATAGTACATAGTAGATGATCCAAGATTCCTCGATGAATTGGAGCATTGGGATTGAGATTCTTAATTATCGGAATTATCATATTTCTTTTCATAAATATTCCGATGACTAAGTATGGTTTAAAATAGTACATAGTAGATGATTCAGGATTCCTCGATGAATTGGAGCATAGGGATTGAGATTCTTAATTATCGGAATTATCATATTTCTTTTCATAAATATTCCGATGACTAATTATGGTTTAAAATAGTACATAGTAGATGATCCAGGATTCCTCGATGAATTGGAGCATAGGGATTGAGATTCTTAATTATCGGAATTATCATATTTCTTTTCATAAATATTCCGATGACTATGTATGGTTTAAATTAGTACACATGTGTTAAGAGAACAATTTTTAATAGACTCTAAAGTAGGTTTATAAGCTCTTCTGAAGTTGAAATGAAAATGTTCTATGTTGCAGATGATCCAGGATTCGGACCGGATGATCCTCGTTGGGTCGGAGCATGGTGGATGGGATTCGTAATCATCGGAATGTTCATGTTTATCTTCATGTTGCCAGCCTGGCTCTACCCTAGGCATTTCCCCGGAGTGAACGATATAAATTCAAGCAAGAAGAGAGTACTTACATCTGTGATCGAGTACTTAAAAGGTATTTGATTGACCTTGGCATATTTATTTTATCTATTGGTCATTAAGTAAGTCAAAAGGATTAAATAAAATAATACTATTCAGTTTACATAAGTTTGGGGTTTTTAATTTTACTTTAAAAAATAACCAAAAATGTGGACATTTTAAAAATAAAATAATTTTCTATTTCCTAAAAACTGAAGAAATTGGAGAATTATTGATTTCTTTTTAAATAATATACTTTTTTTATATTCTTGTGCCAGAATAAAAAAAATCAATATTTAAAATAAAATAAACTATTTTATTTTCAAATAATTTGTAATTTTACAAAATACTTAGTTTTGACTTACGAACATTAAATACTCTTAAAAATTTCTTTCGCTTTAATATTGAGCTGGTTCAAATTTTGATAACCCAATGAGATTAGATTTTTCTAGTTTTATAATTGTTCAAACTTTTTTTAATCATAATTACACATTTATTGTTATGTATTATAAGTTATTGATGTAATAAACGATATTACCAACCAATGTAAATTATATTAAATACTAATTATAAACTAATGTACATAATCTAATGTATTACAATATAATGTCCTATATCATAAACTAATGTTAAATAATAATATAGTAAAAATTTTCTACAATATAAAATTTTTATAGTTAATTACCTAATGAATTAATTACATAATTTGAAATGGCTATGTTTATTGGAATTATTTAGACATGAAGACTGTTTTGATTCGCTTGTATAAAAACCCACTGCTTATGTGTAACCAGCTGGGAACTATCATGAGAATTAATGCTATCGAAGGGTACTACATACTGATGCCCAAATACTTGGAAATGCAGTTTAAGCAGTCTGCTTCCATGGCTAATCTTTTATCAGGTACTTCAATCATTTTGCTCTTTCACATCATTACATATTAGAATAATTTTTAAATAAATAATTAATTATTAAATAAATAAATAATTATTAAATAAATAATTAATTATTAATAAGTCATTATTTTTATAACTGTTGTAGAACAGTTGACTCAATTTTTGAGTTTGCAACTAACAATGTTCATCACCGTAACCTTGTAATTTCGAACTCAATCCAGAAGACAAGAGATCTCCTGGATCTAGCAATGGGAGAAATTTGCCTTTGGGGAGGACTTTTTGATGGAACTAACCTGCATTTGCATTGCATGGATAAGAAAGCTACAGAAACCTCCCACGGTTTGCCTGACGGCAAGGGGACTCTAGCCTATCATCCGTCTACTACTGAGAACATTTTACGTGAGCACTGTGGCTAATGCGAGCAGAGTGTGAAATTCATCCGGCCATAGCTAGGATTCGAACCTGGATCACCTCATTGGGAGACGAGCACTCTATTCCCTGAGCCACCACGGCTCAAACCAGTATTTATCAAATGAATAATTATTAACAATTATTAATATAAAATAATAATTATAACATGATATGTTTTTAACCCTGTTTCTTTTTCTTTGGATAAGAGCAATCAAGATATTCTATTCAACTAGTACCGATGATGGTACTTAATGTTTATATGAACCATGAAGGCGCCAACACGTAGGAGCAACAATGCTAGATCTTGTAGGTACCGATAATGCAGACTTCAGTATCAAATACACGACAATATCGGAATTATCATTGATAGCTACAATTATTAAATACGATTATTATCGGTGATATATCACATAGATAGCATCTTGACTATCATACATAACTATAGTTACTGAACTCGTTATTATTGTGAAGGTTGAATATTTTTATTTGGGTAAGAAAAATATTGATAACTGTAAAAATATAAATTCGTTAAATTGGAGAAAGAAAAATCTTGCAATATATTGTCAAATATCGAAATTTTTGACTAAGTTTTACGATAATAAAACTCTATATATATCAGTTATAGAGATAATCAATTGCCAACGTATGGCCTCTATTAAGGATAGACATTCAGGCGATAAATTAAGTTATGAAAGCACATACTTATTTATGAATAAATATTTATTTTTCTTCTTTTGTTCATAAAGCATATATAACTATAACATTTTTAATTATTTCTTGTAGGGAGCAGTATTGCATTTTGTACCATTTTTACTTTTTTTTATGCAGAAAGTAATAATTTTATTAAATTAAAAATTTTGGGCGAAATATATTGTACGTTATTTGTTTTATACAATGTATTTCGCCCAATGTTTTATTAATAATAATTATGTTATATTAATAATAATTTAATTATTAATAATAATTTAATTATTAATATAACATAATTAAATTACGTTATATTTGTATATTAATATAATAATATCTATTAATATAATCATATATGTTTATTAATGTAATTTTCTTGAGGCTTGCAAATATTCAATTTTTTTCTCTCATCTATGACACCTTTTTTTTTGGGGGGGGNTAACAGGGGGGGGGAGGGAATACATTTCTAATCATTGTAATTTTAAATTAAACTTATTTAAAATTACAATGATTCAATGGGTAGATATATTTTAACTTATAGAAATTATTTTGCTAGTTCCATTCAAAATGATAAAATTTTCTCGTAATTTATTTTGAGTTTTCAGGTCCAGTTGTTATAGTTCTTATGATGATTGGCATCATGGGTGGAGGATTTGGAATCAGCAAGTTCAGACCAAGTGCTCGAAAACTGACGGGGGGAATTGTTATCACACAAATACTGACAGTTATAAGTTTCATAGCCTGCATGCTTATCATGTGTTCATCTACTGAAAGGTCGGGAACAGATACAATCGCGGGTTCAGAGTAAGATATTTTAAAAATGTACTTTTAAAATTTCTAGAAAAAAAAAACTGATGTAGTTATATCTTGAGATACACGTGTCTTTCTCTTCAATCCCCCCCCCCAATTTTTCATATGTCTATAATTTTTCTTTGATTTATCTTCATTTTGAACTATATATATATATATATATAGATAGATAGATAGATACTTTGCAATAAGATTTAAAGCTTTCGGAGGTTTGTGGGACCGACAATAAATTGCGAAAGAAAGCAAGTATTTCTGAACACCTTATGCTAGAAAATTGAGCAATAAGCTTGTAACTTGTATTGTACTTTGGCTGTTATTTAAATTAACTGCATAAAATTTCGTAAACCTAGCTTAAATATTTATGGAGATATATATATTTTTATATAAAAAAATTTTTTTTTTTCGTCTTACAATTTTTTACTATAATTTAAAAAATATTCAACAAAATTTAGCAATATTTTTGGAGCAATTTAAAACTACTGACAAAATTATTGTTTTAAAATTTGAAAAAAATTAATTTGAAACTGCGCAAGATAAGAATATTTAAAGTAATTCTTTTATGCTGCACAAGCGTGGAAAAAAATTTTTTTCCTTCGTAATTTCACAGTGATTTGTATTTGGGAAATTAATAAAAAAAGTTTGATTTTAATATATCTTGAAAGTGTAAAAAGTTTCAGGCAATTTTCCATTTGTACTTTTTAAAAGAAAGCTATAAATGATAAGGAGGTTTTCAGAAATGTTATTTTGTGTATATGATAAAATTTAATAACAAATAATAATACCTTAAATTATCGTCCGAACACGCAAATGTGTAGTATAAGGAAAGAAAACATACATGGTGTAAGATCCTCCTATAATGTCATTTTTAGTCAATCTTGTTTAATAGTACAAAATTTCATTTGTGAAAAACCCCTTATAGTTCTTGGCTTTTTTTTTGTTTATGAAAAGTGTAAAAACTACTTAGAAAATTGCCGGAAAGTTTTAAATTTGTAAGATATTCAAATTACGACTTTTTTTTTCAATAGTTGCCAAATACGATTCAATACAAAATTATGAGGAAAAAAAAATGTTAATTTTTTTCGCGCATGTGCAGTATAAAAGAGCTACTTTAAATACTCATACACTGAGCAGTTTTTTGAAGGATTTTTTTAAAATTTTGAAATAATAATTCTTAAACAATTTTAAATTGCTTCTAATATATTGTTAAATTTCATTGAATGTTTTATTGCTGTAACAAAAAAACGTAAGGAAAAAAATTAATTTTCTTTATAAAACTGCCTATATATCTTAATAAATATTTAAGCTAGGTTTATAAAATTTGATGCAATTGTTGCAAATAACAACCAAAGTAATCTATACAAGTTTATTGCTTGATTTTCTAACATAGGGTGTTTAAAAATACTTGTTTTCTTGGTCCCTCTAACCTCTAAACCTTATTGCTGGGTATGAAACATCACATGAATTAAATTCTAAAGTTACATAATAGTCCTCTAAGTATTTCTCGAGAAATTTTTAAAAAAAGATGTCAAAAACTGAAAGTGTCTCTCCCATTATTGTAGTGTATTTACTGTCCGAAGCAATTTCCTATTCTTTAAAAAGAGTTAAAAACACCTTCTTTTGCACAATTTAATCAAAACTTGTATGAAAATGAATTATATGCCGTTGAAGTTTCCTAAATTTCATATCACGAATCACTCTTTTTCAATAATTATCAGAAATATATTTCTACGTTTTATACATGTTCTTGACTGAAATTTAGTTAAAAACAGAATCTGTACAGTTACGGAAAAAACAATTACACCAAAATTTCTTCTACAACTAAAAGAGTGCAAACTCTTCTTGTAACGATTCTCTATTATTGATAATGTGTTTTGTGCTATACGTGTAATTATTTGTTGCCCAAGTTCAATCACTAATAAACACTATTCTCGTTAGTGTAATCGCGTCGTGTCAAAAAGTATGTCATTTTTAATACATACATTTTTATTCAACATAGCTTCTATTTTTGATAAATTCGACCGACTCTGATTCACAGACTCTGATTTAACGAAACAACCCAACTGTTCTAGTTAAGAGCAAGCTCGACTGTAAGTTAGAAATTATATGATAGAAAATTTTTATATAACAAAAATAAGAAAAAGGAAACTCATTGACGCGATTATGGCATATGAACAGAACTCGGCAGGTATAATTGTGACATCAAGTGAAAAACCCGGAATAAAATCACCCCTGACTAGCTCTTGGAATGTGGAAATTTGGAATTTTTAAAGCAGCGTTATTATTATTCTCATTTCTAGTTATTTTAATAACAGCTACGATTTTATAAAATCACTTTAGTTTCTGTGATGGTGGAATCTTGCAACCAAATTATTGACCATCACTTTTTAGCTTGCTCTAAATTCTGTACTTTGGAGCTTCGTGTCTGATAGTAATACAAATTTCAATCGTTCCCTCATCGATGCAGACTGAATGCATCATAACAAGAGCTTATCTCCAATCACTATTCTAACCATTTTCTAATTAACTATTGTGCTCAAATCTCTATTTGAACTCTCTGCGTCTATTTAAACTCTTTGCGTTTTATAGATTTAACAAGTTTCAATCACTTTTGTACGATTTTTATGATACATAAATTATTAACTGACAAGTAGACTTTATCGGGTCAATCGAAACTTTGATCACCTCTCGTCTAACGAGCCCAAAAAACAAGCATTTTGAACGGTGTATCTTTGCAAAATAAAACGAATCGTTGTTTTCTGGTCTGTTTTATTTTCAATAATTTCGCAATCGGATAAATAGAACACTTATTTTTTTCCAGATTCAGTCTAGAGAATGATTGCAATCGTGACTGCTTTTGTACTACGAAGGCATACACTCCGATCTGTGAACCTGATTCAAAATCTGAGTACTTTTCTCCCTGCTACGCGGGTTGCATTGATTACAAGGAAGAAGATGGCAAAAAGGTATTTAACTATATAGAGGTGTCTATCCTGTCTTTTAACTGTGCATCAATTAATCACTTTGGGGGTAAATTAATCAAGAATTATATTGAATCAAGACTACATCCATTGTTTCGCATTGCGCTCAGTTGATGCACAATTGCTCAACGGAAAATTGCATTTCAATTCTTCAAACAATCAATTTCTGCGAATCATCATATCAATTAGCCGATCCTACAACTTATCTTAACAAACCTTAGGTTATTCCGTCGCATCACTTTTATTCTCCATTTGCTTCATACAGAAAGTCCAGTATAGCTCCTAGTGTGTTTAATCAGCTATTCATCTCTCATTGCCATGAGTATTCTCAGTATGTTTCCGCTTTTACGGATTGGTCAAAATCTCCAGGGTATGATTGATGCGGAATCATTGTAGCTGATCAAACGTACAGTTATATCAAACCTGCCATATGTTCTGCATTTACTGCTGAAGCCATTCTGATAGCTCTACGACTTATCTCATTTGCAACAAGCGTGCGAAAGTATCGCATTTATTCTGACAGCCTAGTAAGTGTTTTGCGTCAGCTGAGTCACGTTAACAGCGAAGCTCATCCTATTTTATGCATCAATAAGCATCTGTTGATTAGCCATCACAAAAATGGTTTTAACATTGTGTTTTGCTGGATCCCCAGCCATATTGGTATTTCAGGTAACGACATGGCTGATTCTGCTGCCCGATCAGCTACAACTCCATTAACACTATCAGCTCCCCTTTTTGACATGAAGAATTATATACGACAGTTTACTATGTCTTTGTGGAAGCAACACCGGGATTTACTAAGTGAGAACAAACTGCATACTATTAAATCTACGTTAGAACCTTGACCTGTGTTGCAATTTCGGGGAGCAGATGTCAGGCTCACGTATAGGATATACTCGGCTGACTCATCTTCATTTGCTGTTCGGAGAATCGCTTCCTCGAAGCAATACTTGTAGCGTTTCACTTTCAATTCATCATATTTTAAACAATCATACTTTATTCAATTCATCATATTTTTAACCAACATATATGTTATAATTATAAATTATTTATCCGGATTTCGCACAATGCACTTGACAGTGTAATCGGTTATCTTACATTACCGACATAGACTCATAAATGTGAACGGATTTATTAATTTAATTATAAAAGTGGTAGCAAATTCGGTTTCCTTAATGTAATGCTTCTCTGTTTATGAATTTTTTTTTAGATATTTGAATTATTAGATGTATTTTTATTATTTCAGATTTATACTAACTGTAGTTGTGTTCATGACGAAGCTGGAGAATTTACACACGGTGATGCTCAGGATGGTTTTTGCGGATTTCAATGTCAAGGTTTAATGGCTTATGTTATAATACTTTCAGCTGGAAAGTTCGTTTTCTCGTGCCTTGGTGTTGCAAATCCAATAATCACTCTCAGGTAAGAAAAAATGCTTAGATAGAAGATTTTTTAAAAAATGACATTGAATAGTGGGAGAAAATACATTAAGAACTAAAATACATTTTTTTTAAAATAATAGAATAATACTAATAAAAATCATTCTTGAACAAACAAATATCAGCTTTATAAGTTTTTCGAGCTTAACTTATTTGCCAGTTTTAGTTGAATTTATTGAATGCAGTTTGAAACAAGATAAAACTAAGTTAATAAAAAAAAAAAAAAAAAAAAAAAGGTAATTTAAATCGGAAAATCGAAATGCAAATTAAAATCTAAAAATCTCAAAAATAAAATTTGCTCTTTTAAATTTTACTCCACAGCAAATACGTTTAAGTTATCAATTTTAACCTGAACGGTAACAAAATTAAAATAACTTCTGTTTAAAAATTCCTAAGAAAGATTCTATGTCTAAAAATTCTTAAAGGAAGATTCGAATTGCAATTTTTTACTCTTGGACCAACTTGCAACATAATACAATCTACAAATCCCTTCAAATAAATAAAAGCATCAAAAAAAGCAAAAGATACAATAAGAAGAAGATAATCTGACACGCAAACACGTCACTTAGACGAGAAAAGAAAGAAAATCATGGCACTGAAATCGAAGAAAGCAAGAAGGAATTTAAAAAACCCCTCTGTTAGATTATACAAATTTTCACTTTCAACCCCTAATTAAAAACATATAAAGAGAAAATATGCTCGATTGTTAACAGTGAACCAAAAACAGAAATTACTCCGAATATCTTTTGTTCTAATGCCCAGATTTTCTCGAACTAAGTGCCAACGTTATTGCCTTAAAAGGTTAAACTCAAACGTGCTGATTACTGTTAACTGTTAATTGAGTTTCTGGATCAAATACAAAATGTACCTCTCTATAAACGTACCTTTTTTCGACAAATTTTCGATCATTAAAATGAAAGGTTTGGATGCAATTATATCAACGAATTTTATAATTGCGTTCGAATCTTTTAAAATGTTCCAGAGACATGGCAAAATATGCAAAAGTGAAGCTAAAATTATGAGACCTAAGCTTCTGACCGATCTCATTGATTGAATTTATCGAAAAGAACGAGCTTTTGAGTTGTTATTGAATTTTTGTGCTTTAACTATAACAGTTTGCACTAATTAAATAATATAATTGAGATCATCCCATTTAAACCGTTAAGATTTTTAGTATATGAAATAGTATAGTTCAATTAGTTTAGTATAGTTCACTTAGTATATGAAAACTCGATCATTACTACTTAAGTATTGCTCATAGTATTTTATTTATGAAAAATCAACTATTGCAATATGTTAACTACTGTTATTAGGGCTGTGGACCCCGCAGATAAGTCAGTTGTGATAGGCGCTGTCAGTCCTTTGTATTCTCTGCTGGGTAAGTATAACATTTTTATGTAATTCACTTAAAAATGCTTTTGTTATATATAATATTATCCGCACTTTCTTATGCTCAAGTAGTTAGGATATGATATGCAAGCGTTTTTACGTACATATCCAAGTATTAAATATAGAACGTCAAATTCTATTAATACAGATTTGGTTTTCAGTTCTAGAAGGATAAAAACAACTTTATCAATATACTACTTCATTCATTTCTTTTTAATTGTTGGTTGCGATTATCAATACCACTTCATTCACAAATTTGTTTTCGCTATTTAATTGTTGGTTGCTGTAAGAACTCGTTTTCGTTACAGTGATTATTCATCAATAGTTCAAAAAATAATTTCTAAACAATTTTTAATATCTATTTTCTAATGGTTGTTTTAAGTAAATGGTTTTTTTTTCACGCAGATTTACATAAAATATAATATAAAATAATAACTTAATTTTCCAATTATTGATTATAAAACTGTCATTATATAAGTTTATCGTAAAATGTTAAGTTAAAAAAAGCACCCATAACAATGTGATCGGTATTAGACTATTATGTTATACACTAATTAAGTTTTCTGGAAGGTTCTTTTTTACCCCTATGTGTCTACAAAACTAAAAACTATGAAAGAATAAAGCAGCGCGCTTTTCATTGCAAGATCGTAGCACATTGCATCACGATAGGTTCCTATCAATTTTAAAAAGATTCGAGATGTGTTTCCTGTTTTAAAAAGATTTTTTTCTTTCCGCTGTGTTTTAATAAAATTTTCTCAATTTCGGTGATGCAGTTCACTGTTTTAGATATAAATTATTTTTTTGAAATATTTGGGTAAAGGATTTTTGTTTTATGTATAAATTTTTTTAAATATTGTTTGGGTATAAGATCAAAACGTTGTAGCTAACTCAACACAATAATAGCTAATTATTAAAATAAATAAAAATTACTTTGCATGGTTAATTTTAAAAAGTTTCTCCTTTCTGGAATACTACTGGAGAAACTGGAATGCTACTAGTTTAAAAAAAGTGAGTTCAAGCAAACCTTAAGTAAGCCATGAAGTTTCTGAAAAGAAATTTTTAAAATCTCCAAATGAAAATAAATTATAAGAAGATAACTTGGGAATACGCAATGGGAAAGTGTTCTCTTCCAGTAATTTGCTTGCATTTTGATATTTTGAAATTTTTTTTTTTTTTTTTTTTTTTTTTTTTTTNTTTTTTTTTTTTTTTTTTTACGAAATTTAAATTTTATGGCTTATTCTAGGTTAGACTGAAATCACTTTTTCTTTCTTTTAAATTAGCAATGGAGGCGAAAGAGAATGTTCGGTAAAAAGTTTCTCCCAAGGTATGACGTCCTCTTAACCCTGAAGAGGTACTTTTACCTAAGGTACCTGAACCTAAGAGGGTACTTTTAAGTCCCACCAATGTTATTCCCACATAACATTGAAACGGAACAAAATATCCCATCGGAACTTGTCTGTTCCAGCAACTTGACTTTCTGATTATCATTGCTAGTTAATAGCAAACAATTATTTAAAGTTAAATTTTTACATTTGGAATTATTTAGTTGTTGATATTTCGTTCGAACAAGCTATTTTATGATTCTTCAATTTCATTCCTCAATTATTAGCATTTTATCTGGATCAATTTTGGGTGTAAGTCTTTCATATTTTTTCATTAACTTATTAACATTTTCAACTAGTTATGAAACAAAGCATTAAATGTTTAACTTTAATTAAAATGTTATAATGCAGCGTAGGTCCCAAATTAAAAATTTTAAGAACATATTATTGAATATTAAATATATATTTGCCATTGTGAAAATAAACAATTAACAGAACAAAAAATATCGCTTATTTTTTATAATTATTTAATAATTTGGTAAATAGAGGATTTAGGTTTTCAAACTCTAATAATATATTATCAGTTATTTAAAATAGCTATATTATCAGTTATTTCAGTTATAAGAAAATTTAGATTATAAACTAAATCACCGATTCAGAAATGAATTATTTTATTGTCAGTGTAAAATTTTAAAACCTATTTAAGCATCTTAAATGCCAACTTATACGTTTTTAGTAGAATAAATTTCCCGCTTGTAAGGTAACAAAGTATAATAACTTTAATGTAAAAACAAATTTTGTATATTTTGCTCATAGTATTTAAAATTTCTCCTCTTGTTTTTGATACAGGTTGTTGTTTTTGATACAGATCTTGCTTTGTATGTTGGAATCATATTAATTTTTAAATCTATTCATTTAACAAAGAATAAAAGCTTAGCTTTTGCTACCAGACGAAAGTTCCTATATGGTTAAAATCTAGAGTTTGTCTACGTTTTATGAATTTTTTTTTAATAAAGCCATATTTATATATAGGTCATTCTCACGAAAACTGTCATTTTTCAGTTCATAAAATCCCAAAAAAGTAAAGTGAATAAAAAGCTCTGAAACTTTTTATATTAATAGAAATATGTAATGGCATTATAAAGAAAGTATATATCCTATAAATTATACTTAATATTT